TTTTTTTTTTTTTTCTCCTGATAGTCAACATTTTTGAGGTATAATTTACATACGTTAAATTGCACACATTTTATAGTGAACAGCTCAGTTAGCTTTGTCAAATGTACACATTTGTGCAATCACCATCACAACAAAAAAAAATACAATATTTCTATCACCTTAGGAATTTTCTTCATGTCTGCTGGAGTCAGTCCCTCTTCCAGCCAACCTCTAATATGTTTTCCATCACTGTAGATTGGCTTTGCTTGTTCTAGAACTTCGTATAAATGATATCAGGCAGTATCTTTTGGATCTGACTTCTTTTGCTCAGTACAATGTTTTTAAAGAGTCATCCACATTGGGGGCCTGGCTGGCTCAGTTGGTGGAGCATGTGACTCTTGATCTTGGGGTGGTTAGTTTGAGCCCACATTAGGTGTAGAGATTACTTAAAAATAAAATCTTAAAAAAAAGCCATCCATGTTGATGCATGCATTGTATTGTCCCTCTCTATTGCTGAGTATATTCTGGTTATTGATGAACCACAATTTGTTAGTCCATTCATCTGTTGATGGACTTCTGGGTTGTTTCCAGTTTGGGGCTGAAAAAAGAGCTATAAGCATTTGTGAACAAATCTTTTTGTGGTCATATGTTTTCATTCACCTTGAGTAAATACTTAGGAGTTGAATTGTTGGATCAAAGGGGAGATGTGTGTTTAATTTTTTTTTTTTTAAAGATTTTATTTATTTACTTGACAGAGAGAGACACAGTGCGAGAGGGAACACAAGCAGGGGGAGTGGGAGAGGGAGAAGCAGGCTTTCCATGGAGCAGGGAGCCCGACATGGGGCTCGATCCCAGGACCCTGGGATCTTGACCTGAGCCGAAGGCAGACACTTAACGACTGAGCCACCCAGGTGCCCCTGTGTTTAATTTTTTAAGGAACTGCACAAATGTTTTCAAATTGGTTGTCAAAGCACTTGATGTGGTTGCTTCTGTTTTCTGCGTCCTTTATGACTTTTTGTCTACTTGTTCTCTCAAATTCCAAGATAGGAGTGTTAAAACATCTAACTACAAATGTGGATTTGTCTATTTCCCCCTATATTATTAGGTATATACCCACTCAGGATTATTATACCTTCTGAAGAATTGCCCCCTTTATTAATTATGAAATGTCTTCCTTGCAGTGTTCTCTGTCTGGAAGTCTAGGTGATATTAATATCACATCTCCAGAAAGGGATGCTTTAAAAGATGCCAGAAGTTGCCTCAAGGAAGAACTTATCAAATCTGATCAAAGAGGTTGGGA